TTTTTAGCCGGGAGGGAGGTCGTAGCTACGTAGCTAGTAGCTTAAGTAGCTGCTACTACCTAGGACGCAGGATAGCTCACGCTTCTTCAAGGAAGCTCCCCCCGCCTGAGGGCACGGGGGAGCTTGCTTGAAGAAGCGCTCGCACTATTCATTTGGTTCCTAGATTTTAGGGAAACTTAAGTTTCTCACAGGATGTTTGGATGAAAGTGGAGAGTACTAATAGATTGTGGCTCTCTGTAGTTTCGAGTTCTCAGGAGCAACTACGAAGTATCAAGGAAAAGGTGACCAACGAAACGGGCACAAACAGGGGGATCCAAAAAATCATCTTCAAAGAATTCCTTATCATTAAAAAGACGAACAACCACTTCACCTTTTCGAACGAAAAGACCGGGTTTTCCTCAGGGCTCGAACGCTTGGCTCCAGGATCTTCTCCTGGCGAAGCGGTTTCCACCCATTTCAAGCCTATTTTCTCAGGCTGCTTATTCCAATGATGGTGAACAAAGAGAATGGCATCTCTCCCGTGTGAACAATAGACATTGTTTGATTGATCCGCTCTGCATGTTGCTTCTCAAATTTGGCTGCCTCGTCTGCCATCGAACTCCCTTCAAGCTCCTGGCCAAAAACTGTTCTTTTGCAAATACGATCAAAACCTTAGCCACCTGCTTTGTCAAAGTGTCGTTCAAGAGTCTGCGATGTCTTCTGATTGTGGAGTCCTTTACTTTGTCCAACAGCTCAGCGATGCGGCACTCTGCTTGTGTCTGCTCCTTCTCCTTCCAAGGAAAACAGAAGAATCAGCGATCCAACAAAGGCAACGGGACTCTTGCAAGTGGATAATTCTAGATCAAACACCTGTTTAGGATTATCAAGATTGGAAGAAATTCAACGCCGGGTAGTGAAAATTGACGAACGTGCAACAGTTTTGCTAGGTGGATGTGCCATGATTTGCATTTCGTGGTCTGCGAAATTCCTGCTATTCACTGTGGAAACGCCAAAGTACCTAGAACAATGCAAGTCATTTCTTTAACAAAACAAGAACGGGTGTCCCTCTTCTTTTTTGTGGAGGGTTGATTTGGTTCCCACACTTCTACGCGAACTTACAGCAATTCTTAGACGTTTAGACCTGTCTTTCCTTCCTTTCATCCTTTCATCTCATTTTCGCTTTCTCTAAGGCACGCTTGCTTTCAGTAGAAACAGTTCTTTCATGTTTCAACTCCAGACCGAGACCCTAAAAGGCACACCTTGCCCGCTTTGTTCAGTGGGTGACTCCTCACAAGCTAATACTTCGTAAAACTACTCAAATTGCACCGATGATGCACCTGACTTTGTATTTTTATAGTGAGACCGTCAAACGCCAACCAATGGCAATGGGCTTGATCTAGTCCATCATTCCTCTTCCAGGGATCTTCGGGGTCTCCCTCTTCAAAATCCACACCACAGGCAACCCTGGAGGTGGTCGCCTTGGTGCTTATGTAGCAAAGGTTCATGTAATGTCCCAAACGGTGAGACAAAGTTTCTTTGTGCAAAAGTTCATCTCATAGAACATGTGTCGGATTCTATCATCTTGCAACCTTGTGGCTGCCTTCCATGAAACCACGACAAACTCATTCTTGAATATCGGTACTTTACCATAATAAGAAATTTACGTGATTGCCAGCAACTATGCCAACCCCACATTGTCACTTCAGCCGCTCCTTCTCTGCCAGGAGTTCCGACTGCTTCCGCTCCACAGCTTCGAGTGCCTTTGAGGCTTTCGCACACGGTTCATAGACCCTTGAGTGGAGAGTGTCCGAGAAAGGTCATTGGGCCTGTGGAGCAAAGCACTATTGAAATCTCTCCCGCAGCCTCACCCATAAACCCACGAAATCATCTTAGATTTTGAGGCTTTCTCTACCATTTGCATCTTTTGGCACCTATATAAACACTGTGGCTTCGTGGTATAAACTTTCTGCGTCAAAACTTGTTAATGCCCAGGTGCCTCTTTACACCTCTTGCCTTGATCACGTGCGCTGGCGTGTTCCTGAAGGATCAAGCGCCACGTCTCCAAGTGAAAGGTCTGAATGAGAGATCCATCCCACCCGGGTATTTCTCATCCACGCTTTGCTTTCCTTGCAAACCCTTTTGAGATCTTGCTCCTCCAAGCTGGCTCACAAACATGCAGGTAGTCGAGGGAAAATCAAACATTGGAACCGACCTCAAGTGCTTGCTTCATGCTCTCCAGCTGCACCTGGCCAAACGACACCCAATCCAGGCATAGTGCAACAGAACTCGCAAACCAAGCCTCGAGTTGTCTGCTCTTCTGTCGCTCCATCTCCAACTCCTCTGCGCATCAAACTCAAGATGACACAAGTGAACTGACCTATTTGGAGAACGGAAATTGCCCAGATAGTGAGAATAGACAAAATCAACCCAGCCTCAAGTGTCTGCTTCGTGTTCTGCAGCTGTGCCTAGCACACATCAGAGACCCTGGGCCTTGATCAAAGAAACTCTGCCCCGGTGCAACTGGGCCTTGATCCCGGCCCGAGGAAATAGTATCTATGTCTGGGATATCTATTTCTTGGACAACGGCATATGTCACATATATATATATATATATATGTGCCCTTTTTCAAACACTTCCAACTCAACCTCGGATCCAACGTTTCAAAGAGGGCATTGAGACTCTGCTCAACAAAGCCCAACAATGAGCCCATCCATGATGAACTACAAAAACAAGTTCGACCACATCGGTCCACATCTCAGTTCCGTCACTCTCCGCCTCAAGCGCTTGCTGGGCTGTCTGAACTTCCACCTGTACCGTTCCAAGAACTTGCCCTCTCAATCTCTCTCATCATTAGTTCGACTTTACTCCAAATGGCCTGCAATTGTCCAGACTGCGCTCGGAGCTGTGCAGCTGCAATCTTGTCTTTCTCCAAATCCTGTCGCTGAATCAGGACCACAAAAAAAACATCTAAAGTAAACAGTAACATCCATCGAAGTAGGAAGTGAGTCTAGGCACCCAGATTATCCAGCTGCATCAAATGATTCTCACTTGGTGAGCCAAAATCATCTGAAGATCAGTGACTACTCAAATGCATCACTCCAGGTGCCTCGAGCGCTTTCTTGCTGCTTTGAAGCTGCACCTGGCACCA